TATTTCATTCAAATTAAACCATTCTGAGAAAACTGTTCTGTGAAAAGTCTAGCACTTATTTCTGTTCAGAATGAGTGTGTGTGTGTGTGTGTGTTTAATTATGGCAAAGCACACGAGGGCTATCTGCCTCAGGGGAGGGATGCCTTTCGTGGAGGACTTTCTAAGGGAAACTGGCTCGTATACACGTTACACATGGGGAAAACCACGAAAACGCCCATGCAGCCAGCCCGTTCGCGGGATTCGAACCTCGGACCGAACTACCAGTGTTCAGCGACTTTACCGCTCGGCCGCTGGTGGGCCTGTTCAGAATGAAATGTTGTATAAAAATATGTTGTTTTCATATACTTAGGACTCGGAAGTGTTGTAGAAAAAGAAAATATATACATTTATATGCATATTTCCGACGTAATTACAAAATATTTACATCCGATCGCGTCAAAACCCATTGAACTTAATGGTAAATGACCCAATGTTTTGGTCACCACGTAGGGATCGCCGGTGCTTCAGAGCAGGACGGTTATTCTACGCTAGTCGACAGCAAGTTGTGGGCCGCCAGATGTCGCTGTTAGTGAAAAACAGGTCTGCCCGACATCCTATATTCTCTGAGTACGGAAGTCGTAGAAAGCGCGAAAAAACGTGTTGCCGCGTCGTCAATCAGGGTTGTGCAGTTGACGTACTAAGTAGACAATGGCTTTGTATATGTTTTCGCCGCTGATTTTTTTCATAATGTAATATTAAAAGAAAAGTATTAGTAATTGTGTGACAAAAATTACAATACGAATTAATCACACATACAGGATAGATTAGTATAATTTTGGTATATATTTTATATTGAAAAAATATTTTCCTTCATGTTAATTATAGAATAAATTATTTAAAATAAAACATTTTGATGCGTGTGTGATAGCTGAATGCAGCAGCAATCGGCCGTACTGTAATAGTGAATGAATTTTAGTCCTTTTCCTGAAAGAAATAATTTTCATAGAAAAAGAAAATTAAAAAAAGGAAGAAATATTTTCTTTCTAATTTCTTACTTAAAGAAATATTTTCCTAATATTAACTGTAAAATAAAATGCGTGAAAACAGCTTAATGTAAGCATATTAAAAAAGAAAAAAAAAAGAACTTAGTTTGCATTTAGATTGTAATGCAAGTTAATCATATTATAAATTTAAATGAATAAAATTGTTTATTTCTAAAAAGATATGAAGTAAGCTTAATTCATTTACTCTTATCTATTTACCGTTGCTTTCATGGTAACCCATATCACTCTATATTTCTTAGTCCTAAATTCCTGCATTAACTTTCCTCTTTAAAAACGGGATCCTTAAAAAACGAATAACATAGCAACATATTCTGCTGCGTGTTGGTCATAATACTGTTTTGTGCCATTTTTTTCAAACTAAAAATGCAGCGTGTGAGTTAGTGAAATAATGGGAGAATATTCCTAGAACTTCAGCCAACGCGCGCTATAAATTTCGTCACTCGTCTGTACTGCGATTGGTGTAAAGCTCCTTGAAGCCTTGTCCCCTTTCAGTAAAGTCAAATGAACCCACCCGCCCACCACCTGAGGACCACAGAATGGCTTTCTCGGATCAAGTGTACGTTGCAGTCAGGTACCCGCGCGTGATGCCCTACCCTAGAATATCACACTATACGATTTTCGATCGCATACAGTTCCTAAGTTGGGGCAGGTAAGAACATGCATGAGGATGGCGATAATCAGTGAGATCCCAAGAGACTGGCCACCGCGGTGGCTAACACGCCCCATCGGGCGAGGGCAAGTGCGGAGTAAGAAAAAAGAAACGCCTTATGCAACTAAGTCCAGAGAGTCCAGTGTGACACACATAGTTATTTAAATGACAACACACAAAAATATAAGCAATAGTGAGAAATTGGGTACATACAGGCAGAAATGAAAACAATAGTATAATATATTAAACATGGATGATAATTTGTGAATTTAAATTTTAACAATTGCAAATCAGAGGTATTGTATATAAAGAAAGCATTAGTTAGAAGCAACAAATTATTTTAGATGTCTCAGTACGGCCCGAGGCCTTTTTTTGAAGGCCTGGCTGTTGTAATTATAATCCGATACAGGGATGGTGGGATTACAGACATTAGGTATATTTTGGTAAAATCTGAGGGCCAGAGTGGCCATATATTCCTTTAAATATGGTATATTAAGTTCGCGGTGGATTGCCGCGTTTCTAATGAACCACGGACAACCCGCCGCTTGCCTAAGCACAATATTTTGTAGAACTTGCAGTTTTTGCACATGAGTATCATAAGTATACCCCCAGACAGGGCAGGCATAGGTGATGATGGAACGTAACATGGCTTTATAAATGAGTAATTTGTTATCAATAGAGAGAACGCTGTTCCGGGCAATTAAGGGGGCAAGTGTAGTTTTACGAACCCGGAACTTTTCAATAAGTTTTGTAATGTGAGGGGTCCATGTGAGAGTTTGGTCTAATGTGACACCTAGGTATTGGGCCTGCTTGGTCCAGGGGATGGGCGTGCCATACATTTTAATGTGGATATCATAGTCAATGTTCTTTTTCCTCGTGAAGATGATGGCATCTGACTTTTCCACATTAATGCTAATTTTCCATGCCGTTAGCCAGGACTTCAGTGTGTGAATGTGGTTTTGTAGCTGTTGTATGACTGAGCCGTGAGATGCGTTTTAAGATAAAATTGCCGTATCATCAGCATACATTGCTAGGGTGGTGTGTGGTGTGTGTGGGATATCGTTCGTGTAAATATTGAAGTAGAGCTGGCCCAAAATGGACCCCTGTGGGACCCCAGCCCTAATAGGCCTGGGGATAGAGATGGTGTTGTTAACACGAACGACAAAGTGTCGACCCATAAGGTAAGAGTGTGTGATGTAATCTGGGAAGCCCAGGTTTATGATTTTGTATATGAGGCCCTCCAGCCAGACTCTGTCAAAGGACTTCGAAACATCAAGAAAAATAGCTCCTGTGATGGACTTGTCCTGTAGGCCCTGAGACATCAGTTCAGTAACTCTGTAAAGTTGGTGGTTCGTAGAGTGCAGCTTCCTGAAGCCATGTTGTTCATTAATGAGTAGACTATTTTCATTCAGGTGCTGTAGTAGACGTTGCTGAATGAAAAATTCAGCTACTTTGCTTATTGAAGATAATAAACTGATGGGCCTGTATGACACGGGTCTGTGATGGGTTTTCCAGTCTTATGAATTAGTGAGATGACAGCTGTCTTCCATGGCGAAGGGAAGTGCCCCAGGTGTAGCATACTATTGATGATTTTTGTCAGTTTGATGATCATTAGGATTCCCATATTTTTTAACATCTTGTTGCTCACAGAGTCGAGTCCAGGACTTTTCTTGGTCTTGAGTTTTGTGATGTATTCAAAGACCTCTGAAGGACTGACAGGAGGAGTGTTGGTTGTGTGTGGTTTTTGAGAGGAACTTTGTTAGTGTTTGTGAAACAAGGTGTTCTGTTTGAGAGTGGGATATGTTGTTAGTTCTCCGATCATGTTCTCCGATAAGTTGTGATAGGTTGTCCATACCGGTTTTTTTGAGTCAATATTGTTCACTCAAGTTGTAGACAGATCCAGTGATCATAGAATAGGCGTCCTGGGTACGGGAGAAACCTGTTTCGGGCCACTCCATCTTACTTCCTACCTCCATGGTCAAAACTGGGGGAGGGGAGGAACTGAGCGAAGTCGAGCTGTGACCTGTATGGTCCTCAAGGCTCTTGCCAACGACAGACACAGTCTAACTCTCTTTGCCCCGATGAAGTTCCCGAACTCGTTCTCTTGCTACTGTCAGAAAAATGAGATAAGTAACAAGAACAAAACAGCATTTTCATGTGTATATCTGTGTGTGTCATATGTATCACACACACACACACACACACATATATATATATCTGTATATATCTGTGTGAGTGTGTTTCGATCTTCAACAGACAAAAAGCTTGACAATCCCTGCTCTATTCTGATTAAAACAAACTGTGTGATTGGAACGAGTGATAGTTTTAAGTACAATTTTAACCATCATAACAAATAACAGTAACTTCAAATACAGATAACTCCCTTCCCTCCTTCCCGATTATTAGATTATTATGATTGTTAGGTTTATATATCACGATTGTTAGCTTGTTGATAATCACCACATCACGATTGTTAGATTTCTCAAAGTATTCTATGTGGTGTTATGCGATTTCGAATTACACAAGTCAAAAGAGAGATAGCTTTCAAATATTTATAATTATCATATTATTTCTGTTAACTAAGAGAAAGTTATTAGTAAAATAATAACAAATCACTAATACTAGATATCAGTATTACTTGCGATCAGCCTTCGGTGTAGTATGCATTTTAGGTTGAAAGTCTATGGAATGAGTCTAGCTAGAAATTTAAATATTTTTATAACATCGCGAGTATGTGTTTGTAAAACACAAACAATTCCCACATGAATGAAATCCATTTTAAAATTTAGGGGAGCTCGTTCTGGGAGCGGATTCGAAAAAGAGAAATTTGCGTAACATTTTTTTAATTTTCAGAAAAGGCTAAGGAATTCGCGCGGAAATGCAGTAAATGAGTAACCATAATTTTTATTGTGGATACCCTTGCATGAATTTATATTTCAACTAGCTGATACCTTTTAAAGCATAATATGAGAATTTTGCCGAGAAAATTAGTTCCAGTCCAAGACATTCATTCGAAGTACTCAATTTAATAATTTGAATTTCCGACACAACTTAATGGGACTTTATTGAAGAAAATTTTAAAAAATCTGTCACTATACGAAAGAAAAAAAAAATTCTCCATTAGACGTTTAGTTAATCTGAAAAACAACTCTTAATATTATCTTTTCAGCACAACAGTTGCATAAAAAAAAAGAAGAAGGTGATGAAGAAGTTGTAAAATTTGCATATCGAATCTCATTGGTTAAACTGGATCTCGGAATACGAATTCTTAACTATCTCACTCAGACGATTCTTTCAGTATTCAGCTTGGAAACTTAACTTTTCAGCTGCTTTAATTTTTACTCAATTAAGGTATTGCTTGAAATGGCGGCAAGTCGGGATGCTGGAGATATCATTAATGAAAGGGTGGTCGCAGCCATATTTGATCGAGCTGCAAGGCATCGCTACAGTCCAGCCGTTTATGATAAGGTATCGAAAATAAGTTTTAATTTGTTACAAGATTTCTATGTTTAAATTGCGTAAAAGTTGCTTAAATTATCCCAAACCGGAAAAGTTTGCAGCTCCAAACTTTTCCGGTTTGTTTGCAATATTTAAGTATACGGCATTAGAACAATCTAGAATTTACTTAAATTACATACTCTTTTAATTAGAGTTCATTTTGTGAGTTAAATTCTATAATAAACTTTAAGTTTCTTGCCTATCAACACTCTGATGTTCTCGTTAAAACGCTTCTTACCTTTCTGGTAGTCAGTGTTTGCTAATGTCTTAAATATTCGTTAATACTTGTAATTTTAAATGGCATTAAAATTTTAATACGTTAACATTTTCGTTAATTTTACTGTAAATAATTTATGATAATTTTACCCTTAACTGTGTTTGAATTCACGTAAATTTATTTAGAATATCAAAGCATGGGAAAGAGACAAATTTAATTGTACGTAACATTTATATATTGGATAAGAGATGGCCTTCATGTATCGCAAAGCGTGGAAATTAGAAAATCTAAATTTCCATAGTGAAATGTTTGGAACTGAAATATATTGTTCAGAAAGCGTGAAACTAAAGAAACTGTAGTTAAATCTGTTATTAACGAAATGTTACAAAGCAGCTATTTGTTTTATTCTTAATACGCGAGTCTCATTTTCCGATTTTTGTAAATAAACCCCATCGTTGGGTCGCAAGAATCCTTTACATATTTAATGAGTTGAAACTTTTTGGGGCATTGATACTTTCATGGCTCATTTTGAATCTTCCTCTAAGCATCAATTATATAATTTTGTTTGGAAACAATTGTATAAAAATATATTCTAATTGAATTACTGAATAGACTAAATGTTCGTTAGATCTGCAATTCTCTTGATAAGCTTATTGGCGAAAAACCGTATATTTCGCTTTTTGTGAATCTGGAATATCCAGACTTTTTCTAAAAATAAAATTAACATTTTTTTTTACTATTTTCCGTTATCCATTCTGGCTGAGTAAACATTCAAAAATCATTTGCATTTTTTATTCGCCCTTTTGAATTGAAATTTTCTACGTACTACTAGCACAAATTTAAGGTTCCGCAAAAGGAACATCTTCTTTGAATGGCTGTGTATAAATAAATACATAACTTTATTGCATCCAAATTTACTAGAAGCTGCGATTTCTTTTCTAGTAAGGCATAAACGGCTGAGTGGTAAAGTCGCCAAGAGCTAATGGTTCCATTTGGGTTCGAGTCCCGGCGAACGGGCTCTCTGCACGGGAATTTTTGTGGTTTTCCCCGTGTGTAAACGTGAACATGAGCCATTTTCGATTTGAAATCCCTCCCTGAAGCCATACCTTCCTTAGAAACACAGCTTTAATGTGCTTTGCCATAATCACACTTTAAATAAACCAACTAGTACGGCTGGTGTGGGCAGATGATCACAATTATCTGCCGAAATTTGAAGTCTAATGTTCCATAATCGATAGTAATCGAGGTTCCGCTAGCTATTTAATAAGCACTTTTCATAAAATATACTGCTAGCACTGCGCCCATCGCTGCATAGTCGTTTTCGTGTTTTTTCTCATATGTAGCACTTGTGAGCCAGTTTCTCTTGGAAAGCCCTCCAAGACGTCTTCTTGGAAAGGAGACGCAGTGTCCGTCATTGCATCTTTCGGATGCTAAAGTGATCAGTTACGTGCCTTCCAGTAGTGAATTTACTTAAATCAAAAATTAGGATGAAACATTAGAAGCCATTAAAATTTAGGTTAATACTTGGCGTTTATAGCAAATTTCCGTAATATATATTTTAATTACAGAGGCTGTTCACACATTTTTTAAACGATGTATATTGTATTCACAAAACTAAATTACATAAAATTCTTGTTTTAAATGTTCTATTTGACATCCCTTATTCTGAACTATCTTTCGGCACCGCAATTTCCAGGATAATGCCTTTTGAAGTGGCAGAAGAGGTATTCTATCCCATTCCTCCCGAACAGCTTTCCAGACTCCTGTTAGGGTTTTGGGACAACGTTTGGATAATGCAGTTTTTAGAAGTCCGAAAGCCCAAAAATCCATAGGTGACACATCGGGAGATTTAGTAGGGATATCAGTGAAGGGTATGGCCTTGATAGCAGTTTTTTGGATTTGGATGTGTGACTGCTAGCTTTGTCCTGATGGAGTCCGATTGATGGCACAGTGGGTAAAGCGATGGTATTTCATTCAGAAAAATTGGCGATAAAATATGTTCCTGATAATATTTGGAGTTAATCTTGACATTTTTTTTCCCACTCTCTTTATTTTTAACTTGCCATTGTAAGAAAAACCAGCAACAATCATGAATCCCTTACAAAAACTTTCTTTCGATTCTTTGATCCATGTACTTAAATTTTTGTTCTCCCCTTTTATGATAATAAATGGCTCTTTTTTACAATGATTTAAATACATCCATGCTTTATCTATTGTGACAATTGTTTATTTTTCTTTGGATAAGTGTTTTTCATAGAATTCTGCAGCGTGTTCTGCGTTGAGCGATATGCTTTGGAAGACGACGATGCACATTGCGTGTTTTCGCTTAAGATTTAAATCAACGTTTATCATTTTCTTTACAGTGAACATCGAGCATTTTAATGATTTTGCAACTGTCCTTTGACTAGGGAGATTTTCTTTTAACATTAAACAACGTACCTTTGCAATAGTCGAAGATGTCCGTTTTTTTCTTGGATACTTGTTTGGAATTTTTGTCCCCTTTGAGGCTCAAATTTGACGTTTTTTCCTTTCTTGTTGATATTATCTATCGACGCTTTAGATATCACAAAACCATGACTCTCACATCGTTTTTTGGATAACGGAGTATGCATATTTCTCTTCGGAAAGAGCGTAAATGTAGCCTTCGAACCACTGCTTTGTTAAATTCGCCATTTTGAATAAAAACAACTTTCAAGCCATAGACGATAATTTTAACTTTTAAGAACATAGTACAATTGCAATTACTTCTTTTGCACAAAACGATTTTTTATTACCACTTACCAAAATCGTCTAAAATGTGCGAACAGCGTCTGTTAGAATGAGACGTTAACCTCGTACATTCATTTGTTAAAATTTGAGTTTATTAGAACAAGCAGTCTTAATTTTTCAGTGTTTTCACTTTTGCAGATGAATGCAAAGATACTCGATTACTGTCGGCAACTTTTTAGTAAAGATTATGAATGTCAGGTAAGTTCTTTCTTGACCCCCCCCTAAAACCTAAAAAGTAATACTGTACGTAAAATACAAGAATATATGAATTTGAAATCTTAACGCCAGGTGGTGAGTAATTCTGAAAACCCCGGTGCCCATTATCCAACCTCGCTTTTAATTCCCGTAGAAGAGAACACTGACGTTCCTGGGCAACTACGTTTCGGAGGAAAGTAAGTATCTGGCATTACTTTTACGTATTTTCTGAAATTGGCAGACTTTAAGAAAATGTTAATTATTAATCTTATTTGCTAGTTTTTAAAGATCTAATAAACATGTTTTCAAAATTCAAGAATTCGAGTCCATGAAATTGCGAGTTAAACGTCCTCTGATTGCATATAATTTAAATTCTTTAAACATGATTACATTGATATCCATAAACCCCATTTAACTTGTGTTTTTGAATGTGTTCAAATTATGAAACATGCATTTTATCAATTTTTATAGCGCTTTTCCCTAGTTTCAGCGGTTTTAATTCCTCACCAGAGATTTATTCCAAAACTCAAAAGTTCGGCCATTGACAATATCCATGTTTTCAGATATTAGTTTATAACGAAACCTAGATGTATGTTGACCAGAACTCTTACGCTATAAAACTGCCGAATTAAAGATGGCGACTTTGTTTAAGTGAGAAAGATAAGAATATTCGGACTTTTTCCAACGGACTTCAGCTTCTTCAAGAAAGTTATATGCGCCAACTTGCAGCAAGACATACTTCCTTTATTAGTTTGTTTCGACCGTGATTAGTCTTCTGAAAATAAGTTACTATTTAAATTCAGTAACAAAATTTAATAAAATGTCACGTTTCGTACTTTACTTATTAGTTTGAAAACAAGAACATTTACGAGAGCTAATAAAATCTCTCTACTAACCAACAGGCAGTGCTGGTACATAGCTTTTTAGTCAACTGTTTGCCGCGTCGTTGGTTGGAAACTGTTAATACAGAATGAAAAAGATCGTTATATTCTTGTTTATTCCAGTTTAAGATCTAATTTTCTGCAAAATGAACTTTCTCTAACAAACTTTTAAAAATTTTTTAATTTTAACCAGTTTACAAATAAAGGTCTTTGTAAAAGGTCTAATACTGTTGAGATTTTAGAAGTCATCTGATTTCTATTCTAAACCCGATTTTAAGCCTAATGGGGTATTTTGAAAGCTACTTCCAAGATCTAAAATTAACTTCTATTTATATCTAAAATATCAACATGTCTCACTGCCATTGAAGATGGTCATTTCGCATACTTAATGTCTACGATTTTGTGTAGCACTGGCAACTCGGTCCTTCAGACAGATAATTTTAACATTTATTTAAAACCTATGATTTAGCATAGACGAATGCATATTCTCATGATTTACATCAAGGAAATCAAATTTCGAGGGAGTAATTTTCTTTCTTGGGAAACGGAATATGACTCTGAGCCTGACACCAGATTTCTGCAATAATTGAAGTACCTAGTTTTAAGCATTCAAAATTCAGTAGTTCTAAGGTATTTTGGGAAAAAATTCAACAATCTTCAAAGTATTTTTATAGATGTAAATCTTTCTTTCCAGAAGTTGGTTTTTAGGAACCTAGTTAATCGAAATGTTAAGTTTTTACTCGAATCAATGACTCGAGATATCGTTCGAAATATTCTAGTTTTCCCTATTGTGTACATTTTGTCGAGTAAATTTACAATGCCAGCAAGCTGAATAAATTATGCGTTCATAAGCACGTTAGAAAGATAAAAAAATCTGACCATGATATAAATTCAGAATTCATCAGTAAATGGAATAAGATTCATAAAGAGCTTACTATCCCTTGTTTACTAACACTGAGGGTCCATGAAGTTTCGGAGACTCATTTAAATATTCGGCAAATTCAGATATTTCTAACTTTCATTTTAATTGTTTCATACTCGGATTTCTAGTATTTAAATGTCGTATCAAAGTAATTGCCCTAAAATAAGCCTTTATTTTAATATTTAAATACCGGAGATTTTAGGCTTCTATTCGTTTTGTTAAGCATGTTTCTGTTATGAAAATTAACACAACCCTTTTACAAGTAAATACCACTGAAATTGCCTCCTACATATTCTTTTGGTACCTACGTATTAGCTTAACCACCTTGGCATGATTTGGCGACTTTTTATGGCAAAAAGGAATCACGACTTACGCATATTAAAATTTACCATGAAAGGGAAAAACTTTAAATTGCAAAAAGTATTTTATACATTTACTATGCACGCTATTTTCCACAATCAAAACCAATCGGTAAACCTTTTTCCAATGCTTCTCTCCTCTCCTAGAAGAAATTTTGGGAATCGTTTTACGAGTAGACGCAAAGCAAGCAACACAAATTAAATTTCCATGTAAGTTAAGTTCTAAGCTCAGTACTTTATAACTGAGTTTAAGACTAATGCTGCGCAGCTTGAGTTAAGGGCGAGCTGCCCAGTATTTTAATTTGGTAAATTAGTTTATTTGGTTTCTTGATTGTTTCTTAGTTTGCCAGTGGTGGCAGTACGGTTTATGAGTTTAGGTTTAAGATTAAATATAACATTTTTCTGTGAATAGTGTTCGAATACAGTAAAACGACCATGTGAAAATCGCGACGTTGCTTGATGTTCTTGTTTACTTGAAAAATTGTTTCAGCTGGTTCTCGAAGTTTCGGACTTTCTGAAAAACTTAGCAACTTCTGTGGATGCGGTTGCGCTCATACGTATTTACCAATTTTTTTTAAATACTTCCTCGAATTGTTAAGAAATTTCAAAATTTCGTGTTATCGGTGATTCTAAGATTTTCAAGGGTAGCTAACAGATTTAAAATACAATTTCTAGTTTAAGCTTTCCACGATCATGAAATTTCTTCGCGTTGGGTTTGTTTCAATACTGTATTAACTTCTCCGCCTTAATAATAACAGGTCTTCGACTTTCCAACCAGGAAATTACAAGAAAATGTATGAATCAGCTCAACGTGTTCGAACCAACAGACGTTTTCCTGTCCCTACAATATTATGGAATGGGAAAGTAAGTTACATTTTTAATTCACTAAGCACATTTTCTTTAGAATCGCATGTTTAATTCATGTAAGTTGTAACTATTTCAGTACCTTCTTCATTATATTTAAAAATTTCAAATAAAACATGAAAGAAATATAAAATGAGAGCCACTTGATGAGGTGAACACAACGGCTTTAGCACTTTTTGGATTTCTTATATTAAACTACATTCTTTGATAATGCATGTATAATTCCATATTGCCCTTTTTAACAATTAAAAGAAAACAGATGTAAATTTTTATAGAAAATTGAGACCATGGATTAGAATTTAAGTATAAATTTGTTTAAATAAATGAAAGCGGATTCTTTACTATAACGTGCATGGAAGTAAGTTGCCTGGTGATGAGATTTTGGCGCCACTGCAGCGGCTGGGTATTCTTGATTGTGGTTAAAATAGGACTTCCAATATGACAACTTCATTCTAGAAGTATAGAAAGAATATATTTCTCATGGGTTGCAATCCTGCAGCAATCGAAAAAATAAGAATTTTGAGTTACGATTGTTCCTAACATTGTTAAAATCGCTCTTGAGGCAGCAGCGCTGGCACGTACTGTAGTTCACTAAAACACAGATGATGGAAGACTCTGTTGCGCATTTTTGCTTATATACAATTTCTAAGATATCTGAAAGCGTTGAAGCATTTTTTAAAAACTCAAAATAGTCCCTTTCCTCCCATTTTTTTCTTTATTTATAGTAAAGAAGCTGGCAGATCGGACCTGTTAAAATTTTATAGTAACAAAGAACGACACTGTATCCTTCGACCTTGTTTTACTTGATTATAATCCAAAGGTTTTCTATACAATATTTTGAAAAGGAATTTAAAACTGCGAGTGTGAAACCCTCCAGACGCAGAAAGAGTGGAGTCCTTTCTAGAAGCAACATTAAATAAAGCTTGCAACAAATTTCTTTTAACGTCTAGGAAGAAATTTCACGTCCCACAAAGCAAAAGCGCGAGTAATGCAAAACAGCGTTTCATAGCAATTAAAACTGTAGTAAAAGTAGGTTCTACTTTGAAACTTGTGTAAATATAGGTTATTCATGAAAATAGTTTTCTTTTGTTTCGTTTCATAGTGAAGGACTGAAACATTAAGAATACTTTAATTTTGTAGTACAGGTGACAATGTGGTAGCATTATGAATAAAACTCAAGTTTCCTTTTTCATTATAATCCATGAACTTAAAGTTCAATACAATACATCAGACAATAACGCAAATTAAAATTCATTAAATGTTAATTATATATTTTATAATTATTAATGAAACACTTATTTGTTTTGAAATGCAGGAACAAGAGTTTAATGCATAGCTTAAGATTCCTGCATTTCAAAATCTCGATAACTTCCGAACGCGTTTATCACAAAACTTCAATTTTCGAGCTATTCCAGTGTTCGAGTTGTTGAATTTATCCCATGAACATGATGTAAAACTCCCAATAGAATATTTTTGGAGCATTAAGATTGCATGGGTTAGTACCTACTAAAGGTTTTGTTTTAAATTTCTTCTGTGTATGGGCATGTTTTTGGAATTGAAAACTGATTACTTCCAAAATAAAGGCGCGTTCTGTCTTCAAATACCGCTTTCATTGATCATAAATGCCTTAACATTCTTTTCGCTTCAGAGACACAAACTCACCAGCGGCTGAGCTGTAAAGTCGCAGAACACTGGTAGTTCGGTCCGAGATTCGAATCCCACAAATGAGCTGGCAGCATGGACGTTTTCGTGTTTTCCCATGTGGTACGTATATACAAGCCAATTTCTCTTGGCGAGTGCCTCTACTAAGGCACATCCCTTCCTTTACGCAACTAGCCCTCGAATGCTCTGCCATAATCAAGTGAACCCAAACCCGCCTCCCGAGGCAAAGGAATTTGATTCTGCATTTAATGAATGGTATTTCGCTTAAACTGCCAGCATGTAGTTCTTCCTATGAATTTTTCGAATGTCCATTACATTGAGGTAGGCAATCATTGCCACAAAATCACTGTTCGAGAATGTCAGCATTTTCACGAACGGGATAAATGTGTTCAGATGTAAAAAATAAGCTGGTACATTAATGTGGATCTAAATAACCAAGGTTCGTAGTCTGATTTAGACTTGACAGAAGTTTAAGAATCAAGCGGTAAATGTGAAAAGTTTCTGAAATGAACACCACGGATGGAATTTCTTCCTTTAGTAATTATTCGAACCTTTGAGTCGGAGATGAAGTCTAATTTTGATCAGCCCCTCGAAGTTCTTTTCGTTATGTATCTAAACAGCACTCGATCTAAAACATGGGTATTTCTATCAGATAGCTGAATAAGAACTTACCTTTGAGACTTAAGATGAAACTCTTCAGAGATTCGGCAGGGTAGTTTGTTTTGGATTACATCTGTTTGAACAAATTGGAAGAGAACTTATCGGCAGGAAGTTACTTCATGTAATTAAAATCCACTGAGGACTTCGTATCTAGTAAACTACATCACTTTACACAGTAAATTTTAATACCGAAACGCGTGTCAAAGCTCTAACCTTAAATTGAACCTAGATAAATTGCGTTTATTGCATAGCAAGATTATCTGCGCAGCCGTTGTAATTGCGAGGCTACCAGTTAAATAACTAGACTATTGCCAAATGAGTACGCAGAAACCCTGTTTCCTAGGACATTTCTAATTTCTAAGGTATCTGAAATCGTTGAAGCACTTTTTAAAAACTCAATATTCTTTTCATCGCATTTTTTCTTTATTTATAGTAAGAACAGGTTATAAGTACTTAAGAATTATTGTCTTGTCTGAATCAAACTAAAGCAAAATGAACTTGGAAATAGACTTGACATCGGAATCCTACCTTAGATCTGACTGCCCAGACACTCAGTCGGAACAGGTACTGAAAGAACGCTGTTTTCAACTTTTTGCAATTAAAGACATGTCACTGAATAATTCATAATGGAAACAGCAGGAATTTTGGTCTTTAAGCACAAATGCAATCCGTGTCATTTATCCGAAAACCGCTAATAAATATAGCGGCTGATTTTAAATTTTTACCCAATTTACAATAAATATAGCTGCCGATTTTAAATTGTTACCCAATTTACACGTCGCTACATTTCTTTGTTGATCGGCTCAATCAGTGGTTAAGATTGCTGAATATTGCTAGTTAGACTTAGGTTCAAATCCAGAAATGGGTTGGCGGCGTATTTTCCCCCATGGGAAACGTGGATACGAGACAGTTCATCTCAGAAAATTCTGCATGGAAGCATCTTTTCTGAGCAAGACATCTCTCGTATTTTGCCATATTCTAATATAGCGTAACCCATTTTGACTCTAAATATCAAATTCTGCGCTATTCAAATAGTTTCTTAACTATTTCATGTAATGCGCATAATTCTCTTCTTTCTAAGAGGCCGAGTGGTGCAAGTCCTAGGACTGGATAAGTCCTACAGAATATACTTCCGTAGTTCATTTACGTCTGCCTTTGAAAGTACACTTTCAGAAACTACTCGATACAAGTAGAGCAATGCTTCTTTAAGATAACATACTTAAGGGAGAATAGTTTGAGCTCAATTCGGGTCGCCAGCGAAAGTAAACTTTAAATAATCGTATCTAGTGCTATTCACAATCTGTGAATGCGCATAATGTCTCTCTTCAAGATATCAAAGGGTTATATTAAATGCATGCCGAGCTGACAAGACTCGAACATTTCCAGAAGATGCTAATGATTTATGTTGTCTCAACAAGTGTCCAATAGTGCTCTGCCGAAAATATAAACTAGCTTTCTGAATTCTTTTTGAAGGGTTATTGACGAAATTCCTTCAATAAATTTGCTGCGATGATCCTAAAATTCGTGTCACTTAGCTAGCAAATAATCTTTAATTTCGGTAAGGGTTACTTTAATAAAAATATAGCCTTGCTCTAAATGTAAATTACTTAGTGTAAATTCCACTAAATAGAGCATTTATTGGAAGTATTTCTAGCTTCGAAAAGAATTGTGTCAAAGCTTCAGTTTAAAATTTTGATTTTTCGCTTTAAGTCTGCGTATGCATAGATTATTTTGAGTGTTCGTACCACCGTGAGGCGTTCAAAAGGTGTTTCCAAATAATCTTTCACGAAATTTCCATATTAAGTAGCGTCTAAAATAAGCTGGTAATTGCACAAGCATGCCTTTTCAATTAGAGCATATATGCATGTTCCCGTTTTCCACTAGAACATATGCAGTCACGTGTTCAAAATTTACATACTGATTAAATTAATCTGATCTAGCAGCAACTAGTCTTTTCTCCTTTAAAATATATTTGGTTAACTCAAAGCGTATTTGTGCACACTAAAATCCAGTTCTAGAACGTTAAATTATTCAGTTTTTAAATTTAGAAAAAGGTTATTTGATCTAACCTTTTTCTTCTTAGTTTCTTTGTCGTACTGCTGGAGTGGATGTGGTTTCGGTAGCAGCAGATATGAATACAATCCTGTTGAATGAGTAAGTAAATTTAATGTTTTAAATTTTCAGTTTTTAATCAAATTTAACCAAAAGGTTTAAAATGGTATTCTTTTACGATCTGTGTATTTTAATATAAAAAACAGACTTTAAAAGCATCTTCACCTGATTCTTTCCAAACGTTTGGGCACATCAGCAGCCAAATCATACTCGGATTAACTTATTATTGGAAGAATGTTGGCCTGAAATAAACCGCGAATTGAAAAACTTGTTTTTAACAGTTAAACGCATACACAACGTTTTTCTCTTCCTGTTATAGTTAGAAGGTGAAAACCATTCATTGTACGGCTAAAAATAAACATTATCTCCTATATTTCTTAAAACTTTGGTACGTTCATGAAGTTCATTTTTGATGTAAGGATTCGAAAATCTTCATACAGGCAACGGACAGAAAAAAAGTGTTTAATTTATACAAACGATCCTCTCTCTGAATGTTGGCCAAAATAAAGGCATTCTTTCGGAAACCAACGAAATGAATAGTCTTAATTACAGGCACAAAGATGCATTAGAAATGAAAAAAACTTATTCTAAGGTACAGTAGACGCGGCTTAATGTCATCGCAGTTAAGGTTAAAATTTGGATATTATCGAATAGCCGAAGTCCCGTTCGTTTGTACACAAAAAAAAAAAAAAAAAGTAAAATGTACACTGCGCAAAAAAAGACGGTTCTCCATCTCCCATTCTATTGGGCCGATTGACAAAATTCAAATTGCGTTTTCCACGTCTCCAAAGCGCGACTTAATATGTGCATTAGGTTTATATATAGCGTTGTTCTAATAAGTATTTTGACACAAAATCTGACTTTTCTGAAATGACGGGCCAATTTTTTCCGGATTTCGATTCTGATTCAAATTATACCAAACTGTCAAATTTTGTAAAAGTAGCTCGAGTAGGTTTAAAAAATTAGCTTTTAAAATTTGTGCTCCTTAGTATGCATTGAATTTGATTTATAATTGTCTCTTTTTTACTGAACTAACTTGATTTCTTCTTTCAGAATTCGAAATTTAGGCTTAATTCAAATATAATTCATACATTTTCTATTTATTTTGAAAAAAAATTTGTAGCCATTCGATAAACTGCATTTTAAATCACGCAATGAAATAACATGAAAACGGAAATGCATATTATAGCATATACTCGCTACAAAAACTAAATATCGACTTGCCATATTTAGAAATTTGTCTTCCGTCTGAGGCACACAATTCCTTAACAGCAGCCAAAAATTATCTAAACTAAAATATGCATACTGCCGTCATCACAAATTCACAAAAATATCCTCCGTACTGTTGGTTTTTTTATTGCGACAAACCCATTCAAAGCCATCTGAACGAGCTTGTGCATTTCCTTCGTACAAACAGGACACTTGTAATGACTACTAAGAAAAGCTTCATTTACACACGAGTCAATTGATGTTTTTGAAGAATAAAGATGGCAAAATCAGCTTACCTTTTGTGCACTCAGTAGCAGCAGTTGAGTCTCCGAAACTATTGTTGATGATATGAGGGATTCATACATAAATAATACGATGCAGATTTAAACACTAATAACAGTATTTATTCTACTGCAACTAAAATATAAGCGATAGATACATCGATGTTAATAAAAGCACATACAGAAGCTTAAGAACTAAAGAACAAGAGGATGATGGGATATATTAATATCACGTGATTAACATAGTTGACGTGTTTGACGCCCGTGTCTTGGCATTTTTTAGGTTTGCCAGAAGTGAGTTAGAAAACATTTTATTTATTTATTTATTCTCAAATGCTTGATTAATTTAGAACAATCCCCCTTTAATCATGCATATGGGAAATGTTGGAAATCATATTTAGCTCACTTAATTTCAGAAATTTTGGTTTGGGCAATGGCTTAGTAAAAATATCTGCAATCATAAATTTGTATTGCAGTAAGTTATCTCGATTATTTTATTTTCTTCCATTTCCCTTAGAAAGAAATATTTAACATTAATATGCTTCAGCATAGTATTAATTTTTCACTGTTTTATAAGAGCTATTGTGGACTTATTGTCCTCAAATATCTTAATGGGTAGTTTTTGAGTTATTCCAAAATCTTTAAGGAAATCTAATATCCATTTGAGCTCTTGAGCAGCAGTGGCTGCAGAAATAAGCTCGGATTTGGTAGATAGGGAAACGCAGTTTTGTCTCTTTGTGGAACAAAATATTGGACTGTTTCCTACAAAAAAATTTCCACCTATTGATCGTCTGGTGGTTAAATCAGATGCATAGTCAGCATCTGCATAACAGGAAAGTGTTGGTGTGATATCGGAGTGAATTTTCAGGCAAATGTCCTTCGTAGAGTTGAAGTATTCACTCTTAGAACTGCTTTCCAGTACTCCTCATTTGGAGATTCATTTTTCCTGCTGCTGCCTCAACGTGGCGGGGGGTGTCACTGGGCGGAACGGGCGAAGTACGTCGGGAGCATAGCTCCTGGTAGGGCCACCCTAGGCGTGAAGGCCGTTCCAACATGCCCAGCTAAAGCATAGCAGGTGAAGAACCCTCAGGGGATTGCCATCTTGGTGATCGGGTATCACACCCGGAGCCCCAGTGACCTTTCCTCCTCTTTCCTCTCCTCTTGTCTAGCTCTCTCTCCTATTTTTCTCCCTTGTGGTTTCCTCTACTGGAGGTTGGGGCTCACTGTGAGATGCAGCTACTACTTTTGGTTTCTGTCTCACCATGGTGAGAATACCGCCTATGCGTTTGCCGTGCATGGTGACCCGTAGGGTGGGAAAGGAGGATCCTGGCAGTTGAGGGGCGAGGTACTGTCCCCAACACACTGCTTTGGCCTCTGCTTCTACTTAAAACGGGAGGCACTTAGCTGTCCCCGCTAGTGTCAATCGGCTGGCCACTAGTCCTATTGGTCAGTGGCTAGGGGATAAGCTCTCGGAAGTCTCCGCTTTTGGGAAAGCCGACTGTGGGGGCTTCAGTTTGCGTATAGGCCCGGCTAGCCCTAACACAGGGATCTGTGTTCCCTTGTTGGGCTCCATGGTGGGTGGGGCGGTCGGGCCCGAAACCTTCTCTCTTTTCAATATGAATACTTTAACTTCTCCTAACCATATGGATACGAAAAATTCTGGAGCTGCTAAAAGAATTTGTACTTCGACCTTAATTAGCACAAACAAATATCCAAAGTTCTTAGTTATCACTGGTGAGCTAGAAAATCTATCACCATTCTTCATCCATAAGCATATTGCGGCCTCAGTAGGCGAGCCAAAACACATAAAAAAGCTCCGTTCAGGATCTCTGCTCATCGAGACTACATCTGATGCACAATCTTCCTTCCTCTCTCCAAAAAAATGACCAAAATGGGGGAACATTCTATTACTGTATCCCCACATAAGTCTTTGAACACGTCAAGAGGTGTCATTTCGGAAATAGACTTGATATCAGTCTCTGAGGATGAACTTTCAAAAGAACTCGCCGAGCAAAATGTATGTGGCGTCCGCCGAATAAAAGTCCGTAGAGACGGGCAACTCGTCAACACAAAACATCTTATTCTGTCTTTCTCCTCTCCAGAGCTACCGAAAGCCATTAAGGCAGGTTACCTAAATTGCCCCATCAGACCTTACGTGCCGAACCCACTGCGCTGCTTCAAGTGTTAACGGTTTGGCCATGCGAAGGCCGCATGCCGGGGAAACCTGGCATGTGCTCGCTGTTCTGCAGGAGGTCACGAAAGTCAGGATTGTGTAGCTGATCCAAAATGTGCAAACTGTCATGGCAATCATCCAGCATACTCACGAAACTGCCCTAAGTGGAAAGAAGAGAAAGAAATACAGCATATTAAGACTACAAGAAAAATCTCCTATCCTGAAGCTAAGAAACTTTTTAGCACGGGTCAGTCAAAAGCAAATGTCTCCTATGCACAAGCCACTAAATCATATCGGTCAATAAGTACACAAACATCGCATAGCACACAGAAGAAGATACCTGAACCAAAAACCAAAACAAATGACAAAGAAAAAGTCTTTCTTCTACCTCCTCCCAAACAGACAATAGAAAGTCGAGAAATAAAAACACAAGAAACAGAGAGTTCAAAAAAGAAAATCAAAAGCTCAGAAAAGAGAAGCTCAAGCCGAAGCTCTATTGAAGGGACCTTTTCAGACTTTATCGAATCTGAGATGGAAACAGATGGAGGCGGAGATCTCTCGAAAAATGTTTCTACCTCACAAAACAAAGAAACAGCATCGAAGCAATAAACATTCCTAATGGCTACTCTCATTTCGTGGAACTGCCGGGGCTTCTATCAGGGTATTGATGGCATTAAGCAACTTATTAATAAATATCGACCTATTTGTATAGCGATACAAGAGACATTCCTCAAACCTGGTAATTTTGCAAAGCTACGTAGGTACTCGATGACAAGAAAGGATAAGACATTCAGTGAACGCGCAAGTGGTGGTGTCTGTCTACTCACCTCAATTAATTGCCCTTCGAGTGCTCTCCCTTTGGATACTCCTCTCCAAGCAGTTGCAGTACAGTTGAGCATTCGAACACTGACTACTGTCTGCAGTATTTACATCCCGCCTAATGAGAACATTAATTTAAGAGATTTAGAGGATCTAATTGCCCAACTACCAGCTCCGTTTATTCTAGTCGGTGATTTCAATGGACACAATCCCTTGTGGGGTAGTAAAGACACCAAACCCACGCGAGCAAAAGCAAATTCAACAACAGCTACTCCACGACCACTGTCTCTGATATCCTTAACAACACAGAAAGCACTTATTTTCATCAGCCAACAAGGACCTTCCATTCCATTGACCTTGCTATTGTTTCTCCACAGTTTTTGCCTTATTTTGTTTCTTTAATGTCGAGAATTATCTATATAATAGCGATCATTTTCCTATTATCATAAGCATTACAGGAAATGGGAGTGTGTTTATACCTAGAACACCACGCTTTTTGTTGGACAAAGCCGACTCTTAGAAACAGGTATCCGTAGAGCGTTCGTTAGAAGAAATCATTG